TATCTATCTATCTATCTATCTATCTATCTATCTATCTATCTATCTATCTATCTCTCTATCCATCCATCCATCCATCCATCCATCCATACATACATACATACATACATACATACATATATATTGGCTAGGGTTTTGGTGCCATTGAAGACCTATAGAAAACCCCAGCCACAGAATTATCAGAGAAGCCATAGAGATTGAAAAAAGACCAGAAAGCATGAATAGAAGAGATGATTCCACCAGACTATCAATTATTTGGAAGCCTGCACTCACAAACAAAAAAATCTCCACACCACTAGCCAGGCAAACACCTGGGCACAAACAGATCCCCCTGATACCCCCAGCTCAAACACACCCCAACCAGGCACCCAGACGAAACCTAGCTTCCTAATAAATGAAAGCCGTCCATTTACTTGGAGCCAAGCTGCACTAAAAGCTTCCAATACAGGAACACAATGTTGCCAGCCAATCAAGACACAAAAAAGCGACAAAACAGACAGAAGATATTAGAAACACCAATCAATCAGAACACAGCAAACTCCAAGACCAATAAACACAGACTAAGACTCCCAACCAATCAGGATGAAGAAAAAACCATTCTTGCACAGCAGTAGGCTAGCCCCAAATTTAAAACTGAAACACCTGTAAAAGTCTGACTCACAGACGAACACAATACAGAAGCCTGATGATGGCAGATGAGATTCTGCCGAAATGTTGCTACAACTTTAAAAGCACAACTATAATGACGTGGGAAAATACCCGAACAAAGCTGAATACCATACATGTAAGTACCCGCGAAAACTTAAGAATATAAGAATTTAAGTATATATATATATGGATAGATAGATAGATAGAGAGAGAGAGAGAGATTCAAGCATTGCTACATTTTCATATCCAGGTGATTAATCTAAGCAAGAGTGAACAGACATTTTGTGTGCCTCTCAGAAGACCCACTACTATAATAACAGATAAACCCTAATATCATTTACCTTGGCAGGAAGTGCCATCATTTGGCTTAAACTGTAATTTTCCTGTGGATGGTTGATAACCTTCGTTACAGGTGCAGCTGTATTCTCCATCCATATTGTCACATTGTGCATGATCTCCACAGGCACCGGTTCCCAGTTCACTGCACTCATCTATGTCTGATATTATGAGAGAAATTGATTTTTTTTTGTAAAAAAGGAAAAGCTTGTACATAACAACACTTTATTGCAGTTTTGATAGCAAGCGAACAACATATTCATACTTTCTGCATAGAGTGGATCCTAAAGACAAATATAATAATTTTAAAAAACTAATCTCGTCCTCCAACTGGCATGAAAACATGCATGGCCATTATAATTCTAGTTCAAGATTGTGCAAGCAGTACCTAGTTTTGGAAAGAGAGATGGTACTATGTCTCATACCTGTTTGGAAAATACTTGTCTATTAATTGTAAACTGGACTCTAATTTCAGTTCATTGAAGAGACACATTTTCTTGCATGAATGAAATGCCCTTCACAACAAGTCACAATATCTTTATTCTTTTTATATATTATATTTTAAATTCAGTTGGATTAAATTCAGTTGAAAGTTCCATTAAAAGTTTTTTCCCCCAAACTAAATTATAAGCCAGAAATGTAACAAACTAAGCTTATTCTTTAACTTTTAAGTTCCCATTTATACTTTTTTCTAAAGTAAGAATTCTTGACATTGAAATTATATAACGGTTTGCAAGATTTGATATCTTACTATTAATTTATACCTTTTCATGTTTTGAAATTGGTGCATATTAATTACTGTAATAGAAGAATGTGAATTATTCATGTTGAACTATCTGAAATAAGTAAGACAGCTTTCCTTACCATTTCAAATGGATCAAAAGTTTTGCATTCAGTTTAATGTTATGCTTTTCCTTGGAGCAAACCAGGTCACCTTGACAAATATATATATATATACACGCCACAGTGGACCAACTTCAGGTTTATGTCATCTGCTTTGTTTTTATTAGAATTATAAATGAAGCTATTAAAATATCTGGTAACAAGTGGAGCTTGTTCAATTTTTACATGGTAAATCTTTCATTCCCTATGAAAGATATTTTTCCCTTTGCTTTTTGTGTATAGAGTGGAAATAATAATATAATAATATAATATAATATAATATAATATAATATAATATAATATAATATAATATAATATAATATAATAATATAATATAACCAGTATTTAAGGTGATGGACCGAAAGCAGGGAGACTCACATTCTAATACTCCTTTAGGCACAGAAACTAATTAGGTGACCTTGGTTAGTTACTTTTACTTAATGATCTAGTTGAAAATTGATTTGTTATGTGCCATCAAGTTGTCAACTCTTAGAACCACTTTGATAAATTTCCTTGATGATCTATCTCCTAACCTGGTCTCATCGGTTATCTAAAGGTGCATACATTGGTGCTTAACTGAGTCTATCTTGCTTCTCTTCTCTTCTCTTCTCTTCTCTTCTCTTCTCTTCTCTTCTCTTCCCTTCCCTTCCCTTCCCTTCCCTTCCCTTCCCTTCCCTTCCCTTCCCTTCCCTTCCCTTCTCTTCTCTTCTCTTCTCTTCTCTTCTCTTCTCTCTTTCTCTTCCTCTCCTTCTTCCTCCTTACCTTACCTTTTCTTTTCTTTCTTTTTAATTTATTTTATTTTATTTCACCTTCGCCCAGAGTAAAGTCTTCTCCAAAGATCTGGGACTTTATATAACGTGTCCAAACTAGCATGATTCGAACCTGGTCACATATGTTGTGAATGAGAACTCTAGATTGATTTGTTCAATAGTCTATTTGTTTATTTTCTTGGCAAACCACAATACTTTCAGGAGCCTCCTGCAATACCAATGTTCAATAAACAGATCTGTCTTACTATCCAACTTCTATCCAGCTGAAAAACAAGCCTGTTGGTTGATAAATTATTTATCAAAATAATACAAGTGGGATATTCACTAACTAACTAACTAACTAACTAACTAACTAACTAACTAACTAACTATCTAACTAACTATCTAACTAACTAACTAACTAACTAACTAATAATGGATTCCAAACAGCATTTGTATCAGAAAAGCCACGTGTTACTGTTAGGGGATATGTTACCGTAGAAATGTTTGCCATAGAAATACTGTCAGAGGAAAGAGAAATATTCCACAATCTACAGGTAGTCCTCAATTTACAACAGTTCATTTAGTGACCATATAAAGTTACAACAGCACTGAAAAAAGTGACTTATGACCCTTTTTTCATAGTTACAACCTTTGCAGCATCCCCATGATCATGTGATCAAAATTCATAGTAGCTTGGCAACTGGTTGTAGTGTCCCAAGGTCATATTATTCCTTTTTGTGACCCTCTAACAAGCAAAGTCAATGGGAAGCAAGATTCACTTTACAGCCATGTTACTAAATGATCAACTTTGGTGATTCACTTAACAACAGAGGCAAGAAAAGTTAACAATGGGGCAAATTCAGTTAACAAATGTCTCACTTAACAACAGAAAAATCGGGCTCAATTATGGTCATATGTCGAGGGCTACCTGAATATACTAAACATAATAAACTGAGAATAATAAATCTTAGTAAAAGATGTGCAGATGAATTGCATCCACCTGTAGGAGTGAAACCAAGGAATTAGGACTAAAGACTAAATTATGATCAAAGGATAATCTCAGAGATACATAAAATTGTGAGTTTGTCCTTTTACATAAGAAGGATCTAATGAGTTCCAGAAGATTCAGCATCTGTTCAGGTACAGTAGATATTGAAAGATGTAGATGATGAGTTAATCACCAACACGGAGAACTCAAATTATCAAAGAAACAGCCACTGTTTCTTTGATATTTTGAACTGTGAATTGAGAAAAGATGAACCAGGAAATGGATTACACAAGGAAAAGCTAGAATAGGTTAGAATAAGATGGAATGGAAACATGACAGGGAAAAGAAGACAGGGGAGCAACTCTTAAATAAATGCAAAGAGATTAATTATGAAAATTTGGATTCAGCTATTCTATTAAAGAAAGAAAAATCCCAATATGTTTGTGACACTTTCCTCCTGTGTGTTATATAGTAAATCTGTTTTCATATCCATAGTGAATGAGCACACATTGGGGAATGGAAGTCATATATTTGCATGGAGTTCTGATATAAGTATGGAAATATTTCAATGAAATGGGCAACCGTGATGTTCTAGGTTACAAATTTCTGGTAAAAAAACAACAACCCTGGTTACACAGAGGCTCCAGGCAGGCATTCAACAAAATCACAGTGGATTTGAGGGAGGCCTATACTATGACTGGATTCCCTGCCTGCATGTTCATTTTATCGAAGGCATCAAGGGAAAACAGTTTCTAACATACACTAATTCAATTGGATTATTATGAGCTCAAGGATAAAGCTTGAAATATAGACCTACAATGGATTTTCTACAAACCCCATGAGCAAAGAGCAATAATGAGCACACATTTAATTTATTATACCTGAATCTGAAACTTCTATTATGTCGGCTGAAATTACAAATCCACATGACAATAGAACATCAATCCTCTCTTTCAGAAAAGCAACTAAAATAAAGTTGTTCTGAAGGGCCTTGGTTAAGCACTGTAATTGGTTTGCCTATGGTTGTGTTTCAGATGGAGTAATTTAATTAATGCTGTTATGCTTTTAGTGTAAAATTATGCCTGCATTATTTGAGATTATTATCCTGATGACTTCTTTTGGTTTTAATGCATTGTACCAGGAATCCATGCAATGTGTATCTGTATAAAAAGGAAATAGTAGATACATAGATATGCAATAGATAAAGAGCCATAGTGATGCAGTGGTTTGAATACAGTACTGCAGGCTACTTCTGCTGACTGCCAGCTGCCAGCAGTTTGGCAATTCGAGTCTCACCAGCTAAAGGTTGATTCAGCCTTTCATTCTTCTGAGGTTGGTAAAATGAAGATCCAAATTATTGGGGGCAATATGCTGTCTCTGAAACTACTTAGAGAGGACTGTAGAGCACTGTTAAGCAGTATATAGCTCTAAGTACTATTGCTAAGTGCTAAATGTATAGTCTGGGTCTATTTTATTTTTCATTTACAAGACAATAGGCTATTTATATTATTTAATTCAAATAATTACCAAATTTTAAAATGTAAGATTAAGCGTATGATCATATTTTCTTGGAAAAAAATAGATAAACCTGAAAAAGGAGCAAATCTGGAAGGCGTAAGGATAATTAAAATACTGTTTATGTTTATAATTTAGCTTTGTGGAAGAAAATTCAAGAACAAAATCAAGAAAAACTGTAGAAAATGCAGTTGGAATTGTACAAAAAACATCTAAAACATATATAAATTTATTTTAAATGGAAAATTCAGTTCCATATTTTTCACATGAATGTGAAAGACTGAATTAAGGGCACCGTTTGTTCAGTAAAAGTGAAATAACCAGAATAAAGGTCAAAAGCACATTGTTAAAAAATAAATCTAAAGGATAGCTTTTGGATAAAGGACTGCCCTTTATAATAAAGGATGTATGGTCACAACAATTATACATTTCATTATAATTTTTAAAATTCAATTAAATATTTCCCCATTCCATTTTAATTTGGTTTGGGTCACACTTGTGAGTGTTGTGGTCAGCAGGCATTTTGCAGGTTGTGTGTTTGACACTTCTGACTTACAGCATATCTTTTATTTTTTTATTGCTATGTGATTGTTGAGTTTATTTTTTTATCATACTATGGGCTCATTTCCTCCATCCATAAACTGTAAATTGCCAAGAGATTGAAGTGAGATATAAATTCAATAACTAATTAGATTTGGTAACAACTTTTAGAGATTTCTCAGTGTTCTGCCTAAAGCTTTTGACAGCCATCTAAAGCTCCGAGATCTCTCTCTTTCTGCTTTAGAAGCTGAAAACCTCCCAATGTTGAGAAGTATTGAAAAATGTAAGGTTTAATTGTAAAAAAGATAAATTAATATGGTTATCCATAACAACCTGCAATGTATTTGAACAATTGAATAACAGCTAATGCTGATTTATATAATTTATTTTTCTTTTTTGCAAACAATTGTAGACCTTAGTATACACTTTTTCACCTGCTTTGGGTTAATCACTAAAAAGATATTAATGCTGGAAGATATAAAGT